CGACAGGGACTCGCACTTAGGGAGAATTGCTACATCTAGAGCCAAATTAGGTAATTTAGTGAAAACAATACTGAAAGGAGATTTACCCGTGGAGCGGTTAACCATGGAGTTGTAAGCAAACTCAGCGGTGGTTAATACTTCCTCCTATTTTTTTGGATAGTCTTGGACTAAACAGCGAAGCATGTTTCCCAAGGTACGATTAACGACTTCCGTTTGTCCATCAGACTGTGGATGATATGCAGAGCTCAGGCGTAAATCTGTGCCGAGACGTTTCCACAACTCTCGCCAAAAATGGCTGATGAATTTGACGTCTCTATCGAAGGTGAGGCTTCTCGGGACGCCATGTAAACGAACGATTTGGTGGAAGAAGAGTTGAGCTATGTGTAGGGCATTCGACGTCTTTTTACAGGCGACGAAATGGGCCATTTTGGAAAAACGGTCGACAACCACCATGATGGAGTCATGCCCTTTTTTAGTTCGAGGAAGGCCGAGGACGAAATCCAAGCTAAGGTCCTCCCAAATGGTGTCCGAAACCGGAAGAGGCAAATACAGTCCTGTATTTTGGGCGACACCTTTATATGTTTGACATACAAAGAAACGGTCGACAAACCGAAAGACATCTCTTCGGAGGCGTGGCCAGAAGAAACGAAGCTTGAGTTGAGCCAATGACTTATCACGGCCTGTGTGAGCTGCCAGGGTGCCACAATGTGCTTCCCGAATAAGGTGTTGACGCCATGATGAGATAGGCACGCACAATAGGTTGTTGTGGAAAAGAAATCCATGTCTTATAGTGTACTCAGGAACAATTTCCTGGTTTTGACACTTACGCCAAATTTCAGAAAAATCGGCATCTGTTGCATAAAGATCTTTCAAAGATGACAAACCAGTGAGCTCGGTTTGTAGTTGAGTTAAGAGCATGGATTTACGGCTGAGTGCGTCAGCTACCGTATTGTTCTTGCCCGGTTGGTGTTTAAGCACAAAGGAGAATTTCTGCAGGAATGAAACCCAGCGGGCATGCATTCTATTGACGTGCTTTTGAGTGTTGATGAACTGAAGTGCCTTATTGTCATTGCAGATGACAAATTCTTGGTGTAGTAGGTAGTGTTCCCACTGTTTAAGAGCACGGATGACCGAGTATAGTTCCTGTTCGTATGCGAACCAACGTTGTCGAGAATGGCAAAGTTTCTCACTAAAGAATGCAACTGGCCGTCCATCCTGAGATAAAACCGCGCCGATACCCACGGCGGAAGCATCTGTTGCAACAGTGAAGAGTTTATCAAAATCAGGTAGAGCGAGTACTGGAGCGGAAGTAAGGGCCGCTTTAAGAGCATCGAAGCTACGCTGCTGCTGTTCGCCCCAACTAAAAACTTTTGATTTCAAACAATCGGTTATATGGCTCATGATAAGGCTAAAGCCTTTAATGAATTTGCGATAGAAGTTTGCAAGACCATGAAAACTCCTCACATCGAAGAGGGACGTTGGCGTCAGCCATGTGAGAATTACGGATATTTTATCTGGATTCATTTGTACGCCCTCTTGGGAGAGCAGGAATCCCAGAAAATGTACCTTAAGTGTAGCAAACTCGCATTTCGATAGATTGAGAAATAATTTATGCTCTTGTAGTATTAGAAAAATTTTCTGTAAGTGATTAATATGTTGATCGGTATTGTTGCTATATACCAGAATATCATCAAAGTAAGCGATGCAAAATTGTCCCCAGAATGGTTTGAGAATGAGTTGAATCATCCGCATAAAAGTTGAGGGGGCGTTGCAAAGGCCGAATGGCATTACACACCATTCAAAGAGGCCGAAAGGTGTCTTAAAAGCTATTTTCCATTCGTCGCCGGGACGAATCCTGATTTGATGATAGCCACTGCGCAGATCTAATTTAGAGAACACTGCTGCCCCATTGAGATGATCCAGAAGCTCTTCATCTCTCGGTACAGGAAATCGGTATTTAACCGTTATCTTATTAATAGCTCTACTGTCATCATAAAGACGCCATTCGCTGTTTTTCTTGGGTACAAGCAATGCTGGGACAGCACATGGACTAATACTAGTTTGGATCAACTGCTTTCGTAACAGGTCGTCAATAATGGACTTCATAATCTCTTGTTCCTTGGGATTGAGTTGATAATGCGGTAAATTCGGTAAAACTGCATTAGGCAATAGATCAATTTGATGTTGTATTGACCGTAGTGGAGGCCGTGAACTAGGAAGTTCACTTGGACAGACATCACGGAATTGTTCCAGTAATTGACGAACCTCTTCTGGAACCGGTGACTGTGTTAGAGGAGTGGGGTCTGTGAGTATCACGGCCCACAAGGATTCCTTTTCATTCACGGCTAATAGCAAAGTTGGTCCCGAAACAACTTGTAATGCTGGTGCATTGCTTTTGTTAGAAACTTTGGTGTTATCATCATGTTTCTTTGGCAACAGTCGAAGACGTTTGCCCTTCCAATCCAGTGAGTTCACATTGGCTCTTCCGTCAAACAGGACGCCGACGTCAAATTGCCACGGGCGACTGAGGATTAAATGGCACACGTCCATGTCTAGTACATCACACAATACATCACAGACATATTGACGGCCTATTGAAAAAGTCACTTGACACATATCTGTGACTTGAATTTCGACACCTTTCCGTACCCAACTAATCCTGTACGGGTGAGGATTCTTTGTCGTTTTCAAATTAAGTGTTTGTACCACTGAGCGAGCTATGATGTTTTCTGTGCAACCACTGTCGATGAGAAGATCACAAACTTTTCCACTGATGGTGCACCTCGTTTTGAAAATGGCATTGCGTTGTGAATCAACTTGTTGGCGGGGTGCAATTAAGAGTTTCTCAATGACACAAATCAGTGGATCACCCTCATCTCCTTCAATGTATTCGGCAGAGTTTTCCTTGGCTTCTTCAAGTTGTTTCAGAGAAGCTTCATGGTCATTTTCTAGCAGCTGAAGTTGTTGACGTTGAGGACACTCATTGGACTTATGGCCCTGTTGAAAACATCGGAAACACCTTAGTGTCGCCGGTTTAGCATAGGGATTAGTTGAGACAGGTGGCTTAGCCTTGAATTGGAATTTACTGTCAGATGAGGCTGCTTCCGTTTTTGAAGACACACTGCTGGGTCCCGATGAAGAAGAGGAAGGTGTAGGTTTGTTGAATCCCTTGCCAGAATCTGCGAGTGAATCTACTATAGGTCGGCGGTTAAATTGGGGACGGGAAGCTCTGCTTAGTTGTATTTCAACCTTCAGGGCGAAATTGATCGCCTGAGGTAAGGACCATACGGAATTTAATTACAACTTGTCCTATTTAGTATATTTTAATCCGCCGATGTATCGAGCTACCAATTGGTTCATGGTCTTATTCAAATTATTGCGTGCACTGAGCCTATGGAATTCTTCGGTATACTCGCTCACTGATCTATTGCCTTGTATACACTGTTGGTACTTCATATACAGAATTTGTTCATAATCCGTTGGGAGGAACTGTGCACGCAAAAGTTGCTTCATTCTATTCCAACTGTGGACAGGACCCTTGCCTTCCCTCTGCCTCATTTGTAGTAGTTGGTTCCACCAAGCACTGGCTTCGCTTCTCAGACGGCAAGCGACATATTTCACTTGTTTGGACGGATCAACTTCCAAGTAATCAAACAAATTTTCAACAACCCTTTCCCAGTCCAAATAATCCTCAATGTGAACATGGCCATCAAAGAAAGGTATATCTACCTTGATTTTAAACTCGACTTGGTTCCTCTGTGAGAAATGCCGTCTCCTTCCTCCGCAATTTCCTTGACCAAAACTAGGTCCTTCGGCATTGTCATCAGACTCAGTTAAAAACTCCTCCAGGTTAGTAAGCACGTTCTCATCGGAATCAGTTTCTTCTAAAACTTGGGGATGAAAGCGGCGCCCAAAACGTTCAAGGCCCATTCCTCGTCGACGAACAGGGGGTCGTTACCGGGGTCGCTTCACGACGGGGCTGATGGGGTGGAATCCTCTGACGTTGGAGATTGAACTCGCAGCGTCTGTCGATCATAAGGAGTTGGACATCAGCGGCCAACGACTCCAGTTTGCGCATAATGCTCGCCTGGTTTTCCCACAAGGCGTCGACACTCCGACCCTGGCTAGGGACTGGCGTCTTCCCTTTGTCCGTCATTGCTATCACTGGCTCTGATACCAATTGCTGGTGTACTCCAGGACCTGCAAATGAGAAACAGACAAGCAAGACAGGAAAAACAGGGAAGAGTTAATGTAAAAGGCGTCAATGGCCTGTATATTCACTTGAAAATATGGATTTCAAGAGTTGCAGATTGATCAAAAACTGTCTACCTTCCGGAGTTTGCTTCTCTAAATAAGTTCTAAAAACCCTGTAGCTAATTATACTACTTTTTAACTCCTATAACTGTAACTACTTGTTTCTAAAACAAGTGTAGCAAGGAAAAAGGGATAATAGTACTCATATATAACTAACATAGTACTATAAGTAGTGGAAGCAGAAATAAGGGTATGATGGCCCTCAGGTGTGTTGTAGCATGGTTGGCACTGCATCACCAAGGAACCAAACTTTTTCAGATAAGTATGATTAATATTTTGAAATAATAATAGGCTTTACTAATAGCATAGTTTTAATCAAGTTCCTTACATTTATAGGAAAGATCATAAGTGATACTTTTTAAAAATCATATCTTTTATAGGTTATTAGTATTAGGAGTCCTAAGTCTTAAAATATGACGGAAGATATTGAGAGAAATTTATCAAAAATATTTGATATATTCTTAATTATTTATTAGAACATTACTCAATGACATCAACTATATGAAATATACTAAAAAATACAACAAAAACATTTGAACTATTCAAAATTATTTATTAGAATAGTATTTGATGATATTAATATACATAAAATAGGCATAAAAATAATATATGATATGCAATTTTCCTTCATCCTTTCTTCAATTATTTAAGCTGTCGAGCTGGTTCCCACTTCCTCTCATACTAGCCGGCAGACTGAATTTCCATTAGTAGTGTGGCCCAAAAACTTTTTGATGTAGTGGGCTGCCCAGATTACGTTACAACCGCCCGCCAAGCATATATTCAAAACAATCCAATTCGCAAATCCCAATTGAGTCAATTTTTTTACCAGATTTCGTGGGAGGAACACGGAATCCCAAAAAAGGGAATAAAGTGGGGGGAGAGAGAAGAACTCGGAAGGCTCCTGCACGCCTCTTTCAAAGATCAGAACTTTACCTTTGGAAACCCTAATTCTTCGGGCTAGGGTTACGATCGCGGCGTGGAATGATGGAAAGCGACGAACTTGATATCGATTACTACAGCCGAATCATGGAGGAAGCGGCATTCATCGACATATATTTGAACGAACCCCAAAGGTGCGTGGATTTCTTGGGTTCCCTGCATCTCCGTTGCTCCACATTTCTTTCCCTTGCGGGAAGCTATCTACTTTATGGTTTTGATGCTTCAATGTTCTTTTAAGGATATATGGTTTACGCCCTCTTTTGGAATCAGGGATTCTGTTTTAGTCATTTATTTGTTGCAGTTTCTATTACAACTGTTAGTTTCGTGGTTTCCAAGTAAATCATAGGCTTGAAAATATTTATATAATACAGGTTGATTAGATGATTTGCGGAGCTGGTATAAAGGGCTGTTTTTGTTCATTTTGGTTTGGAAGTACTGCTATATTGATTGTAGTTCTATCTGAAATGAATGTAATTTGTTTTGTTTAAAGTGTGAGTGTCTAAAGATTTTGATGCTATCTAGAATGACCAATGATGGTTCTGATCCTTATTTGTCAATCTTATTCTCTAAGCCTTATTGATTCAGGCAATATTAGGTTAAACTGAGATATGACTAACTGTTACCATGAGATGCAAGAAAAGCAAACAAATGGTGTTTGTTCTTAACATAATGAGATATTCATGATCAGGGGCGGATCCAGCTTCTTTTTTTAGGGTGGGAAAAAAAAATTTTGGTAGGGGGTGGGCAAAGATGCTTAGGATTGATAAAATGAGGGCAAAATTTTTTTTTGAGAGGGGGAAAAATATCCAAAATATTTCAAACTATCCCTCTAAAATTAAAAAAAAAAAAATTTGAGGGGGGGGGGGATCCGCCCATGTTCATGATGAACATAGTTTAGTTTGTATTGCAGTAGAAATGCATAGCAAAATACACACTGATACATAATAAATGCACCTTCCCCTAAATGTGTGGGTTATTCTACGCGGACGCTGAACGCCGTCCGAAGACCAACCAGAATGTGCCACGTCACCCTTCGCTCAATACCGCGGCTCGGTACCGTTGACGCGACGCATTCTGGTTGTTCTCCGGACGGCGTTCTGCGTCCGTCCTCTGCACAAAATAATTTTTCCATGTGCTGGCTGCACTTAATAATTTCTTGGGAATTTAACATTTTTTCCTTCACACCGTTTATCTTTGTTTATGTCTGTAATCTAATTTATCTAATACTTTGGTTGATCTTTTGAAACTGTGGCACTTCTAAGCATCCAAAACATATTATTTATGGTTATTGTCGGCTGAAACTAGTCTAGCTGCTGAATTTTTTGCTTTTCATATTCAAGGAATGGGTGGCCTCGCCAGTTGGTCTTCAAGACTTTTTGTCTTTTTGACAGAAAGAAAATAATTTTTTTTTTCATTGATTATCCCATGATCTCATTTCAAGAGTTGTCCTTGCAGCGCTGTGGGTACTGATGCTTCTTCACCTGAAACAATTGCACAGAATGGAAGCAGGAAAAGGTAAATTTGGCTTGTAAAGAACATTAGGGTAACTTCTTTCATGAATTGAACTTGAATGCAGTTATTTTCTCTTTCCATTCGCTTGTCATGGTGGTAATTTTTTTGCTGGTTGTTTAAATTTCTACAACAGTTGATATTGGCTTGCTGCATTATTCTAGAATTGTTCAAGTATACAGTTTTTTACTGTAGACATGTCTCTGTTTGCAGCTCATTTGATAAGTAAAAACAGACTAGTGGATTGTTTAATGTTTGATGCTTATGTAGATTCCAGACAATCAGTTCTTCTACCAGAAATATTGTTTTAGCTCACCAAATGCTTGCAGTGCTTTTGTATTTATTGTCTATATAGATTTATCAAAATTTTACTGTTTCAAGTTTCAACATTTAGCAAGTTTTCTAATGACATTATTGTCAGAGGCTGTTACCAAGCTTTGACTTTTGAGATTTAACGGATTACCACATATGGATCCAATGCTTAATCCACCAAACCTAAACTATTCAACAAATGTCTTGCATATTGAAGTTATTTGCCACGTGTTTAGTAGATAATGTAGAAATGTATTGGTCTTTTTAACATTTCAACTGCTAAAAGTTGATAGCAATTATAAAATACATTATCTGAGGGCTTTACTTTGAATTCTCTGTTTCTCTTGTTTTATATTTTACTTTTTTTTTTCCTTTCTTATTTCTTAGTATTATTTCATGCTCTTGCACACAACAACAACAACAACAACAACATCAAGCCTTTATCCCATTACGTGGGGTCGGCTACATGAATCCTTTTTCTCCATTGTGTCCTATTAAAAGTCAAATTCTCGTTTAAATCTAATAAAGAAAGGTCATTCCTAATATTTTCTAACCAAGTCTTTTTAGGTCTACCCCTACCTTTCTTAACATAAGTCAAATCTAAAACCTCTACTCTCCTAACCGGCTCCTGCACAAAAGATGAATTTTTTTTCATGATAATGCACCGAGTCACAAATGAGGGGTTTTTATCTGATGAATTTGATGCATTGAACACAATACATGCAAAAACTAAATCACAATATACGATCTTCTTCAGCAACTTCTTGATATTGCTATGGATTCAAGTTCTCCCTCCTTTTAGGTTGAATTTGTCAATTCATAGGTACATGTATGGATTTGCAACCATATGCCTTATAGCATACACTAAAATATTTCATCTTTTATAATCATGTCTCTCTAGGAAATGAAACCCTATTTCCGTATATTTAGTTTTTCCATAATACTTTGGTTCTTAGCATATTTCAAACCAGTAGTATTGTTGGAGTGTATCATTATAGGATCTTTTACACATGCAACTACGCCTTTCCAAATAATACTCTTCTCAACCATACACTTTCTTAGACTACAGATGAGGGTGCTATATATTATACTTTTATTGTGAATATAGTTATGCACAACTATTTTTTGCCACTCTAGGATATCTCACAATTATTCTGCAAGACTACATATTGAAAGTAGTTTTATATTGGTGCACATCCCTAGCCTAGTTAGTATCATTATATACTTTTAAGGATCTGTTTGAGACAGTTTTCTCGCTGCTTTACTTTTTCAGAGAACTATAATTTTATTTGGCTATTGTTTTCTTGCTATTTTTTTCACTGTTTTGCAACTAGAATAACTAAGTTATTTTTTCTACAACAACTTCACAACTAACTTTATAAAACATTGTGGGTGTCCTAAACATATCCTAAATGAGACACATTTCTCTACTAAGCATCATTCTTTTGAAGCACATGAAAGTTCTTATACTTCCATCTAATTTATTGTGTCAATGTTAACTTGATAATGAATAACTGTTTCTATTAACAAATATCCAATCCTGCACTTCATTACATGCCTTAAATCAGGAATTGTTAGTGCATGCACATTTAGACATTTTATATTTTTCTTATTTATTCTTTGGGCACGTCTACTCTCACTTTGGCATTCTTTTTTTGTTGGGGCATCTATGTGTTGAATCAATATATTGAACTTTTTCAACATCATTTTAATATGTGTCTCTCAAAATGAAGCTAAAAATCTCTTGGACTTACTCTTGATGAGCATTACACCAATTATATAGCTTGTTTTACCATATCTTTTACTTTAAATTGAAAGAACAACCACCTCTTTGTGGAAATAATTAACTCCTTGAAATTTTTGGCTAAGAGGAAATCATCGACATGCAAACATATAACTATAAATCCCACTCCAAACCACTTGTGATATGAACCATGGCCCTCATCGACATGCATGAATTGACTAATGAGACTCTTTATAAATATCATGTTTGTGTGTATGTAGATAGATCATTTTTTCAATTAATCTTTAATATTACTCTGTCGACATTTGTATCTAGTTTTTGATCTGATTCAGTTAAAGTTCACAAGATTTACAATTAGTCCTTTTTATTTTATTTAGTAAACTCATTACATATTTATGTTGGTAGAGGAATATTCTTTATTTTGATCGAGCAACTTTTAATCTCAAATAGGATTTGAATTTGCTAAACTCTTTGATTATAAATCCTTCAGCAAGATTTTTGTTGAGAGACCCATTTTCTCTATTGTCATTACTCGTGATAATTATATCGTCAATATATACGATGATAATTGAAATTTTATCATAATTGGAGTATTTTATAAGAGGGGGTATGTTCTCATTGGCTTTGTTTATATCCAACTTCATTTATTACTTCTATGAATTTGCCAAATCATGCTTTCGGAGATTGCTTAAGGCCATCGCCCTTTCCAATTTGCATACTTTGTTCTTTTTGAAAGAACTATGTAGCGGATCCAGATAGACTTCTTCAACATCTCCAAGTAAAAATATTCTCTGTATCATGCTGTTGCATGGACTACCCACAAGTAGCTTCAAGAGAAATTAAGATGCATATTGTATTTATTTTTTATATAAGATAAAAAATTCCATGGTAGTTAACCACGTAGGATTGAGTATATCCTCTAGCTATCAGTCTCGTTTTATATCGTTTCAGGCTTTCATCTGCTTTATATTTTATAGAAAAAATTCATTTGCATGTTCTTCCCTTTTGGTACTTCTTTAATCTCACAAGCATGATTTTTTTCATAGCATTAATACCTTTTCTTATGGCATCTGTTTCATTTTTTGTTTTCAAATGCCTCAAATAGAATATGTGGTATTGTAATGGAATTAGAGTTGATGTTTGTAAGGAAGGCTTTATAGATTGGTGATTTTTTTTTTTAAATGTGTGCTGGGTGATGAGATAAAGAGGATAATGTATAGTTATGAGCTGATCATTTTTATCTGATAATGATTTCGACCCATTGAGTTTGCTAGAAAGTTTTGCTTGGATCTAAAGGGGTACTATTTGAATACATTGGAGTTTATGTTACAGGGATGTCTAGATGGAAGATAGATATTTCGTTAAACTTATTTTCTAATTGAGAGTTCTAACCCTGAGTATTAGTTTGATTGAAACTTTTGTTTCTCACTAAAAGTGACATTTTTTTAAGGATTTTTTTTTTGGTGATAGGATGATAACACATCTTTTTGAGTGCAGAATACTCAATATAAACATATTTGAGGGCTCTAAATTAAGTTTACCCCTATTTCGTTTGTGGGTATGGACATATATGCGTTGCGCCCAAGGATTTTTGGAGAAATTTTTGAAATGAAGTTATTTTTTATGGAAGAATTCAACTATATAGTTTATATTGACATTTGAAGCCAATTATTTTTGTGTATATTCTATTAACTAGGTATATGATAGTTTTAACTGTTTCTCCATATTATTTTTTTGATACTTGAATTATAAATGTAGAGTCTTGGTGACTTCTAGAAGAAGATGATTTTTCATTTATGCTTGTTACATTTTGTTAGGATGTTTAAGGACAAGAGGATTGATGGATGTAACTTTTTTCCTAGAAGAAAGAAGATAACATGTGATTAAAGTAATCACAAGTATTAATAGTTCAAAATACCTTGATGTTCGCCTAGAAATTTTTTCCATCATGATAGTAAAATGAGTAGAATAATGCTGGCATTAGATTTTTTTTTGATAAGTTACTCACATGTCATCCGAGTGCAATTATCAATGAAGTTACAAATCTTGTAGCTCCATAAATTTTAGGGGTTTTAAAAGGTCTCCAAATGCCACAGTGAATAATTAAAAAAGGAGTAGATGATCTAAAATTACTCTCAGGAAAAGAAACACAATGATTTTTGACAATTTTACAAAAAACACAATGAAAAGTTTCATGGTCGTATAAAAAAAAAGAGAAGGAAATGTACATTGCAGTGTTTTGAAATTGGGCTACCCTTATCTTATAATGATGTTCTCAAATGCCTTCTATAATTTTATGGAGAATTCAACTATATAGTTTATATTGATATTTGAAGCCAATTATTTTTTAGTATATTCTATTGATTAGGTATATGATAGTTTTAACTGATTCTCCATATTATTTTTTTGACACTTGATTTATAAAGATAGAGTCTTGGCAACTTCTAGAAGAAGATGATTTTTCATTTTTGCTATTACATTTTGTTGGGATGCTTTAGGACAGGAGAATTGTTGAATGGAACTTTTTTCTAGAAGAAAGAAGATAACATGTGATTAAAGTAATCACAAGTATCAGTCCAAAATACCTTAATGTTCGCATGGAAATTATTTCCATCATGACAATAAAAATGAGGAGAATAATGCTGGCATTAGATTTTTTTTTTTTTTTTATATAAGTTACTCTCATGTCATCCGAGTGCAATCATCAATAAAGTTACAAATCTTATAGCTCCAAAAATTTTAGGGGTTTTGAAAGGTCTCCAAATGTTACAGTGAATAATTAAAAAAGGAGTAGAGGATCTAAAATTACTCTCAAGAAAAGAAAAACAATGATTTTTGACAATTTTACAAGACCCACAGTGAAAATTTTCATGGTCGCATAAAAAAAAAGAGAAGGAAATGTAAATTGCAATGTTTGGAAATTGAGCTACCCTTAGCTTATAATGACTGT